GTACCGAAGGGGGAGGGGCTATGAGACTCCGATTATGAATGACAAAATAACCTTATATAATTCATACTATACATGGTTGAGTACATAGTGCATAAGTACATAATGTATGAGTGCATAGTGTATAGTGCGTCATTTGGGATGCAGCTATTGGCTTCCATTAAAGGGGTCATATGATGCGATTTCAAGTTTTCCTTTCTCTTTGGAGTGTTACAAGCTGATTGTGCGTAGATAAGATCCCTGAAGTTGCAAAGACTAAAGTCTCAAAACCAAAGAGAGATTATTTATCAAAGTTAAGACTCTGCCACGCCCCCCCTAAAATGGCTCGTTCTGACACGCCCCCACATATCTACCTCACTATGTGGAAATATTTGCATAATGCTGCCCAAATGTGCACGCAAAGAAAGAAGGCGTGGTTTCAGTAACCGCAGTTAGTGTTGAAGCAGCATGTCAGGGAGACGCTGTGTGTTTCTAGGCGAAAGCAAAAGCACTTTATTTGGCCTTCCGAAAGTAGATGCATTTAGGAATGAATCATTAAACTGCTTACAACAGAACAGCAATGCATTTTATGGACGACCGTTTCGTGAACCTAGGAGAGGAGGTAATTCTGACTTTGCTATGACAATCTGGCGCTTCTGAATCAGCTACTGTTTTGTTATTAGTTTAAGTATTTGCTATTGACTGTTCAAATGCGGAGTTTTGCACATCGTGTGTGTGTGTGCGCGCGCGAGAGAGAGCGAGGTGTGCGCGTGCGTGCGTGCGCGAGAGAGAGCGGTGTGCGTGTGCGCGAGAGAGAGCGAAAGCGGTGTGTGTGCGTGCGAGCGAGAGAGAGAGAGGTGTGTGCGCGCATGTGCGTGAGGTGTGTGTGCGAGAGAGAGAGGTGCGTGTGCGTGCGCGAGAGAGAGAGAGCGGTGTGTGTGCGCGCGAGCGAGAGCACGCGCGTGTGCGTGGGGTGTGTGCGTGTGCGCGAGAGAGAGAGCGAGACACATCACACATCACAGTGGAGTCAGCTGTCTTAACCGTGGCTTGTGTACTGCATCATTACTGTGTGTGCGCGCGCGAGAGAGAGCGAGGTGTGCGCGTGCGTGCGTGCGCGAGAGAGAGCGGTGTGCGTGTGCGCGAGAGAGAGCGAAAGCGGTGTGTGTGCGTGCGAGCGAGAGAGAGAGAGGTGTGTGCGCGCATGTGCGTGAGGTGTGTGCGCGAGAGAGAGAGGTGCGTGTGCGTGCGCGAGAGAGAGAGAGCGGTGTGTGTGCGCGCGAGCGAGAGCACGCGCGTGTGCGTGGGGTGTGTGCGTGTGCGCGAGAGAGAGAGCGAGACACATCACACATCACAGTGGTGTCAGCTGTCTTAACCGTGGCTTGTGTACTGCAAACACATACCAGCTTCATCACTGTGTCTGTCACGCGACTCTGTTCCCCTTTCGGGCTCTGTCTTTACATTTATTTTGAAAGATGAAGCTCGTGATTATGGTAAGGGGCATTACATTTCAGACGAGTGCTTGCGGTGTTCGGCCAATCACAATGCACTGGGTCAGCTGGCCAATCAGAGCAGACTGCGCTTGTCGGAAGGAGGGACTTTGTAGAAAACGAAGCGTTTGAGAGAGGCGGGGCATAGAGGACCTACAATAATGTACAGTATTTGAAAAATAATGTGTTTTTTGAATATTAAATCATATCAACATATTCTGTTACACCAAATACACAAAATAATGATCTTTAAAAAAGCATCATATGACCCCTTTAACAAAAATGCATCTGGTTTAATGACAGACATTTGAAGAACACTCTATCGCCCCCTTAAGTACAGAGGTTTGTTATTGCATCAGTAATGCAAGAATACATATGAAGTGCATACAACAGGACTGAATAAAGGTGAAGTAGTGCTATTTAAATTTTTTTTTTTTTTTTCACTTTTTTTACCTGTTGCCAGGTATGCTAAAGTTACTATTAAAAAACACAAAGCAGCCATCTGAGGGAGCAATATATTTATATATATATATATATATAATCAGATTTATTTGGATTTCTTTTTTTTATTTCTTTTAGCATCTCAGTATTTATCTGGCATAAAAAACAATGAGATTCTGAAATGGATTGACAACATTAGTTTAGTTTAGCTACAAAGCACATTTAAAAACAACAGAAGGTAGTATAAAACATACAATAATATAAATATTAGAATATTATTAATATTTAAAATACATTTAATTTCTTATTTTCTTTAATTTTACATATTATTATTATATGATATTTAAATATTAAACATTACATTTAATATTTAATTGTTAAATTTCTGCTAAAAGACATTAAAATACACTTAATATGCAGTAGTATATTCATGAGAACAAACTTGAACTGAATTGAGCTGAATTGAATCAACACTGAACTGACTTGTGCTGAATTATAACACTATTGTTTTCTGTAGAGCTGCTTTTTAGTTAAATTAAGTTTCATAATTTGATGAACTTTGTACTATTATTGATCTAAACTGAATAAACACTGAACTGAATGTGACTTGATTTGACTAAATGCAACTAATAAAACCCCCTAATTTGTTTAACTGTGTTGAAAACAGTGATGGACAGCAGCATTTAAAGCTAAATGTCTTTGGAATAGAGAAAATAAAGAATGGTTGGACAAACTTGGCCAGTTTTTGTGGAAATCAGCCTACAAATTGCTTACTTACGGTTGTCTCATTTATACATGAATTCACTTTGAGTCTTGAGCATGAAATGAAATGAAAACTCTCTCTGTTCTCAGATGGCAGAGGGAGACGCGCATCAGGAACATGTCTGGGCGTTTGCGTGGAGAGGTGGCATATTACGCTCCATGCGGCAGAAAGTTCAGACAGTATCCTGATGTCATCAAGGCAAGAGATGATCACTTTAAAACTTGTTGCTGTTTAATGACTGATGCTGCTGCTGCTCTGTTGATCTTACACTCTCACTCCTCACAGTATTTGACCAGAAACGGGATCGGCGACATTACACGTGATAATTTTAGCTTCAGTGCTAAAATAAAGGTTGGTGACTTCTATGAAGCCAGAGATGGACCGCAGGTAATTTCTTCAGTTGTACTGTTCTCTTATTCATGTCTGTCAAGTCAAACAGGCCCTGTGTAGGCTGAACAAATGTGATTTAATTTGCTGTGGGGAAGTAACATTGTAGTGTATATCTGTGGTTTTAAAGTGTATTGATATTTTTGGTTTCAAATATTAAATTATTATTTAATAATAATAATGATGATAATTTTAGATATTATTATTATTATTGTTACTAATACTACTACTAATGATGATAATATAATAATAAAAAATCATATAATATAAAAAATAATAATTAAAAAATATAATTTTGTTTTACAAAAATTTATATTTATTTGCTAAAAATGTTGTTGTGCAGTGTTAGTGTGTTTTGATTAAATATTAAATTATTTAATAAAATAACCCATTGAAGCCACAACAACAAATCATTTTAGATATTGTTATTATTATGCTGTTACTACTACTCGTACTACTACTAATGATAATAAGAAGAATTGATTTTACTAAAGTTATGTATTTACTAAACAATGTTTTGTTTAAATATTAAATTATCTAATAAAAACCCATTTAAGCAACTACAATAATAACTAATATTTTTTTATTATTATTATTATAAACTATTATTAATATTACTACTTCTAGTAGTAGTACTACTACTACTACTAATAGTTGATAATAATAATAATTATTATTATTATTTTACTTTTTGTGAAAAATAATTTATTCTCTAAACACTGTTGTTGTCTTCTTCAGGGGTTACAGTGGTGCTTACTGAAGGAAGAGGAAGTGGTTCCTCGTATCTTAGTGATGGAAGGTCGTCGGGGTCGTCTCAAGAATCTTGACCCCGCTCGCTCTCGCAGGAGAAGCAGAGCGCCTGACGAGAGTGAAGCTGATGCTGTCAGCAGCTCTGAGGCCAAACTACTGCGCAGACGGGAGGCCCAGGGTACCAAAACAAGACACAAATGCACACGCTGTCTTATCTGTTTTAGCAAAGATGTGAAACTAAACCATTACACATTGGAATGAAGATTGTAGAGTGTTTTAAAAGATTTATTAGTTCACCCAAAATTACAAATTCTTTTTTTTTTTTTTTTTTTTTTGAAGAATCTTCACATTATGTTTTAATTTTTTCTCTATACAAGGTTTCTGTAGGTCTTGAACTAAATTAATTTTAAGTTTGATTAAACCGAGAGTAAATATCTGTCAATGGGGAATTAACTTGTTTTCCCTTTGAATTAACCGAAGCCCATTGGCAGATATTTGTCCGTTTTTATCATAAATTCACTTCTTTTTGATAACTTTCTCTTGCATGTATCTTGATTTAAGAATAGTTAGACATTTGCACTGCAAAACATGACAAAAATACTGCGGAAGAACAGCCGTTTTGAGCAGTGTGTTTAGAAGTTTAAAAGTTATTTCCATTTTCTCGTTAAGCTATTTGTTGGTAAAAAAGTAGGTGTATTTTCAAACTTTGAAGTGCTGCTAATGCAACTCATTGTTTTCTCCTCAGACATTTACATTTAGAGAACATATCGATGTATTGTCAATATTGCCTTCTATTTGTTCCTTAGTATATGAAACCATGATCCGCACTCACAAAAAAGTTTTGTTTCCTATTGGTTCTAAATGTATGATAAAATGTAACAAGGAGACTGTTTTTGTGAGTGCGGATCATGGTTTCATATACTAAGTCATTTAATCGATTGACGCACCAAAACAAAAGATCAAGTGACAGAGCGCGGTGCAAACGGCTTTGTGGAAATTCTATTTGTTCCCAAAATTCTTTAATCTGTTTTAAAAAGGTCTTAAATTTATCTTCATAAAACTTGCAGAAACTCTGTCAGTAATTGGACTTGCTGTACATTAAATGAGCTCTAAAGCTCTCGTGTATCTGTCAGAAATGGCGCGGCAGGCGGCTCAGATGAAGCTGATGCGTAAGCTGGAGAAGCAGGCGCTGGCACGAGCGGCTAAAGAGGCCAGGAGACAGCAAGGTGAGCTGGAGTTTCATTTTGTTTTTGATTTCTAATACACTTGTAAAACCCGCTCACCATTTCCTATGAACTTTCAGCAATCATGGCGGCTGAAGAGCGGCGGAAACACAAGGAACAAATGAAGATTCTGAAGCAGCAGGTCAGAAATGTCCATGTTTTCTCATGACGCCTCCTGTTGACCTGTAGTTTGTGTTTGTGCGTGCATTGCTGCTTTTGACACTTCAGATCAGCCTTTACCTTTATGAGTTTTTGCATAAGATGCTTGTTGCTTCACGTTTTATCAGTGAAAACCCAGACCACAGCTCATTCTTTCTCATTCCTGCTTTCTTTCACAGGAGAAGTTCAAGAGAATCCAGCAGGTCCGTTTGGAGAAGGAACTCCGTGCTCGGCAGATTTTGGAGGTACTTGTATGTAAAATTTCAAAGCTTATACACTGTACAATGAAAATAATATATGACCCTGGACTAGAGACCTGCGCGGGACGGATTTTTCCAGACAGATTCTGTCCCGTGCCCGCCCGCTCCCGCAGAAATATATCTTATCTGGTCCCGCTCCCGCCCGCGACATTCATGTTTTGTCCCGCTCCCGCCTGCAAAGGCCTGCATAAAAGTAATCTATATAGACTTTTTCAGTACATCGAAGAAATTTACATGAAATGGTTCTGTAACATCTCCTAAGCTCCACAACATCCCAGCATAAACACTCCTGATAAAATATTTGCTATTTAGGCTAAGCATCAACATTAACAAACCACTGTTATTTTTAACAGAAAAACAAGCATGGGCTGCTGCGTGCATGGTTTGGCATGGCAGAATGCGAGCAGCGCTTCCTTTATGCTCCCGCATCCCGCACACACACAAGTCTCTTCCCGCCCACACCCGCACTCGCCCATCAAAAGTTGTCCCGCACCGCACCCTGTTGCGTTGGGTCCCACGGTACTCCCGCGGGAGTGCAGGTCTCTACCCTGGACCACAAAACCAGTCTTTTTAAGTGTAAATTTTTCAAAATTGAGATTTATACTTCATCTGGAAGCTGAATAAATAAGCTTTCCATTGATGTATGGTTTGTTATGATAGGACAATATTTGGCCGAGATGCAACTATTTGAAAATCTGGAATCTGAGGGTGCAAAAAAATCTAAATATTGAGAAAATCATCTTTAAAGTTGTCCAAATGAAGTCCTTAGCTATGCATATTACTAATCAAAAATTACATTTTGATATATTTACGGTAGTAAATTTACTAAATATCTTCATGGAACATGATCTTAATATCCTAATGATTTTTGTCATAAAAGAAAAATCGATCATTTTGACCCATACAATGTATTTTTTCGCTATTGCTACAAATATACCCCAGCGACTTAAGACTGCTTTTGTGCTCCAGGGTCACATATAAATATAATACAAATGTAAAATTTTCTACATGCATCTATAGTTTAATTAAAGTTTAATGGAAATTCTACAAGCTTTGTCATCAGTTTTGATAACTGTACTGTTATTTTGAAGTGTGGGAAGGTTTGGAGTTACTTATAAATGAATTAATGAATAAATACATCAAAAAATATATATATTTTTATATTTTATTTAAGCCTTAAATACAGTACAATTAAATACTTGAAAATAGTACAACAATAAATGATAAATTATCTACATGCAAAGCTAAGTTTAATTAAAATATTTGAAACGTAGCGAAAAGTGGTGGAAAAGCTGCCAGCTTACCTTACTATTATTTTGAAGTGTGGGAAATGTTTTGTATAAATCAGTTTGAAAATAGTACACGTTAGTTTTGATGACTTTATTATTTTAAAATGTGGGAAATAGCAGTAATTCAAAAAGAAGCATGTCTGACTCTAAAGGCACCCATGCCACTCCTGGAATGACACAGTTTTGTCTTCAGTCACAGACAGTCACAATGAAATTGAGCAAATATTCTTCTTTAAGTGTCCATATTAATTTTTAACATTTAAGGATAAAACAGTTAGCGTTATGACCATATCTCAAATTGACACCGTTAGTTACCGTGTTAGTTATCAACTCTAACTGCTTTTTTAAAAAACAATTGTATATTACATCTTATATTAAAATTTTTAAATCTGCTTCTTTACCATGTCTGTTTGTTTTGAATGATGTTTCCTCTACTTGGGGGGGGGGGGGTCAGGGGGGTTCCCCTATCGGGGGGGATCACCCTTTTAATAAAAAAATAAATATGGAACGTCCATCAAATATTATTAGAAGTCCGAAAAGTATTGAGGTATAAGTTTATCACATCTTTAATTCATACTGTACTAAGCATTCAAATATTTATTGGTCAAGTTAAATAGCTTACGTCAAATTTTTTATGTTACGTTATAATAATGTATTCATTTGTCTGTCAAATATGTTTATGCCAACAGGCTAAAAGAAAAAAGAAAGAAGAGGCTGAAAATGCCAAAATACTAGAAGCTGAAAAACGAATAAAGGTTTGTTGTCTTTTTTGTCTTTTTTTGTAGCGTTTGATTTACTGAATTATTTACTATGAGCAGTTTATCTCAATTTCTGATTCATCGTCTCTCCTTGCTATATATTACATATGTTTACTAAAAAACAATGAAACCAATAAGAGTAAAGTCAGACACTGGGACAGAAATACACCATGTGAGTGATTGGATTTGACAGATAACAACAATAATTGTTACAATTGAGCTATTATTCAGGTGAAATATTTGATGACACATTGTGTGTTTTATATGGTTAGAAACTTTATAGGAAGCCAAAAATATGCCCTAATAAATTTTTTTTTAAAAATCAGAAACTGGACTAGTGCTCATTTTTATAAGCATTTGGGTGTGTTTCTGTGAGAGACTGAGTGAGACCTGAGACAGCAGCAGTACTCCATTTCTCATTTTACATTAACACTCATGTGCCCCTCGACTATACGCCTGTCAGTCAAAACCCAGGCATTTCAATATACCACGGAAATAAATGGAGAAAATCCTATCTGTTTATGACATCCCTCCATCTGCATCTCTTTCTCTCACCCATCTCAGTAATGGAAAGAAGGAAATATTTGCAGGTTTGAATTAATTTTTATCTCTGTCTGAAGGAGAAGGAGCTGCGCAGACAGCAGGCCATCATCGTGAAGCACCAGGTATGAGCAGACGTCTTCAAAAAACAGTATTTCACTGAATAATGCCTCAGGTCTCTGCTGCTTTTATTCTTTTATGTGATTACTTTAAAGAAATAGTTGAATTCTGTCATTATTGTAAGAATGATCTTTTTTGGCTCAGCTATTGCTCTAAATGTATTGTGGGTAATCGGTCTACTGGGGAGTTGCTCAATAAGGTTGTATGCATTGATTTATTTACTCATTTTTGTTCTTGCCTTTGCCAACTCTCACTGGCAGGAGTTGGAGAGACATAGACTAGATATGGTATGGGTATGTTTACTTTTCTACATCTAACACATTGTGAAATGCTTGAGATTCGGGTGTTTTGCTTCGTGTTGCATGTGCAACTGACTGCTTTGACTGCGCTTGCATTTCTCCTGCATGACACCCTGCTGAAGGAGACAGAAATGGGCTCTTTTCTGAAACTTAGTGAGCTGCCAATGTGGGAAACATTTTTAGGCATCATAGGAGACAGTCCTGGTTTATAGAGAAAGCAATCCCATAATGCATTACAAGAAGAATGCACTGAAAAATCCATCAAAGATGGCAGACAAAATTAGAGAAATTCTAGTAAACTAAGTGAATACAGCAGTGTTGTTTTAGTATTATTTATATGCTATTTTAGTATTTATTGATATTTTGAATTGGCTTTTATTTAAATATTTCCTGTTTTAATTTTATTTTTTGTAATTTTGTGAATTTGTCATTTTCATTATTTTTGTTATTTTGTATTTTATTATTATTTGTAAAATATTATTCATTTATTGTTTTTTTTTAATATTTTAGTTTTTGAAATTTTTAGTACTCCAACTTCTAATTTTCATTTAAGTTTTTTCTGTGTGTGTCTGTATGTACTGTATATCTCACTTAAAAGGCAGCTCACTGTTTTGGAACAGAGCTGGAATCTGTTAACATATATCAGTCAGTCACAATATTTCCATCCGTGTCGGTGGAAACTTGATTGTCTCCGCTGCTTCATATCATCAAGCCTTCAATGCAATATCATAAACATTCATTCTGATTCTTGCTTGTTTTTTGATTTGCGTGGCGTCTAGTGTTTGTGATCTTTGAGAACATCCAGCCCCTGAAGTGTACATGTTGTTTTTGTTTTAAAACAAATAATTTCCTACAAAGCTTTAAAGTGTCTCTCAGCAGCTGAAACAGTTTTCCGATTGGATCATTGTTTATATTTTAAAGTCTGTTGTTTCTTGCATCGTGTTTAAATATTGTTATACTGAAGGAGTTCAGAGATTTCTGTGGACTCGTTCACGTCTTCCTCGTCGTCTCCTGTCTGTCCTGCACTAAAGACCTGTAGAAACCTGATGGTTAATATGTAACCCCTGGAATAACTCACGCTTTATCAAGATGTTTAGGAAGTGGAGGACTGAGCCGCGCTGGTTAACAGATCTGTTTTAGTTCTGCAGACTCTCAGCTCTTAACCTGCTGAAGCTTCACTAAATCTTCATGCTTCTGCAATTTTGTCATTTTGCAGTATACAATGCGTGTGTTGTGATTTAGTTTTTGTTCTTTCTTTTATTCTGTCTAAATTTTTTTGTTTCTCATTTGCTTTTTCATTCTTTGTTCCATTTCATCATTTTGTTTCTCTTTTTTTGTTTTGCTAATTGTTGCTTATTTAGTTTTTCATTTGTTTTTCTTAAGTGTTTTTTCTTTTTTCTATTCATTCTGTCTTTTTTATTTTTCTGTTTTTTTTTTCTTGCTTTGCTTGTTTGTTTTTTTTCCCTATTTTTTCTGTCTTTTGTTTTCAGTGTTTTCATTTTTCTTTCATAAATGTAATTCTTTCTTGTATTTGCTTTCTCTTTTCTGTTTTATTTTTGTGTTCTCTTGACATTGTTAAATTAATAATTTTGTTTTTCTTTTTTTCATCCTTTTAATTTGTTTTACTTTTTTTCATTATTTCTTCTTGCTTTCATAGGGTTTTATTTTGATGTTTTTATTTATTTCTGTAATTCATTATGTTTGTTACTTTGCTCATTTGTTCTCTTTTTTTGTGTGTTCTTTCATTCTCTCCTGTGTAGTTTTGTTTCATTCTCTCCGTTCTTTCTCTGATGTCTGATGTTTGTTGTAGGAGCGGGAGAGACGTCGGCAGCATGTGATGTTGATGAAGGCGATAGAGGCCAGGAAGAAAGCTGAGGTGTGTTATACAGCTCCTTTTATCATTTCATCATTCTCTTTTCCTCCTTTCATCTCCTCTTATTCTCCGTCTCCTCATCTCTTTGTCCTCCTCAGATCCTTCATCCATTCAATCATATAGACTATGAATGAGTAGATCAGTCTTTTGGCACACAAGGTTTGTCAAATCTTCTTAAATGTTTCCGCAGGAGAAAGAGCGACTGAAACAGGAGAAACGAGATGAGAAACGACTGAACAAGGAGCGCAAACTGGAGCTCAGACGGCTGGAGCTGGAGATGGCCAAAGAGCTGAACAAACCTAATGAAGACATGTGTCTGTCAGACCACACGGTGAATCACCGCAGCCACTGAATCCTTCTTACACAGAACCAAATAAAAAGATTAAGTGCATAATTTCTGCGCAGTTAGTGGGACCAAATGAAATTGCATAATTGAGACGTAGGGTTTTCCTGTATACTACCAACCAAATGTTTTGAATAATTACATGTCTTATTTTATTTATTTTTTATTTGCTGCATTTGCTAAAAAATTCAGTAAAAATTGTGAAATTACATTTTAAAATAACTTTCTATGTGAATGTTAAAAATCTAATTTACTCGTATGATCAAAGCTGAATTTTCAGCATCATTACTGCACTCTTCAGTGTCACATGATCCTTCAGAAATCATTCTAATATGCTGATTTGTTGCTCAAGAAACATTTCTGATTGTTATCATTGTTGAAAACAGTTGTGCTGCTTCATACTTTTGTGGAAATCTTGATGCCTTTTTATTTCAACAGACATTAGTACTTTTGTTCATCAAGGATGTATTAAATTAATCAAAAGTGACAGTAAAGACATTTGTAATGTTACAAAAGAGTTTTCAACATTGATAATAATAAGAACCGTTATCAGTAATTTAGCACCAATAATAATTAATCAATTCTAATCAGATGAAATTCAATCAGCATTATAGAATGATTTCTGAAGGATCATCACTGAAGACTGGAGTAATGATGCTGAAAATTCAGCTTTGATCACAGAAATAAATTACGTTTGAACATATATTCACATAGAAAACAGTTATTTTAAATTGTAATAATATTTTAAATTTTTACTGCAATTTTAATCAAATAAATGCTGCCTTGATGAGCAGTAGAGACTTCTTTTAAAACATTAAAAAAATCTTAATTATCCCAAACTTTTGACCTTGCAGTGTATATGACAATCAAATATCCCAAAAATCATCCACCTAGCAACATAAGAACCACCAAGAGTTAGTAGCAACCATCCAGAACACCATAGCAACCACAGACACATAATAGTCACATAACCATTCAATAGTAATCTGCTGTTCTTGAATGAATTCAGTGTGTAAGTGTGTTTCACTCCATGTGCAGCCTCTGCCAGCGCTGTCACGGATAGCGGGTCTGCTGTTGCCGGGGGGATGTTTCTCAGACTGTCTTATGGTCATGCAGTTCCTGCGCTGCTTTGGAAAGGTCCTGGGGTTTGACCTCAGCACTGACGTGCCGTCTCTTGGCGTGCTGCAGGCAGGGCTTCTGAATGTGAGCGACAGCATGGGCTTCATCCAGGACCTGCTGGTGCGCATGCTGTCTGCTGCTGTTTGTGACCCAGGACTCCCTGCAGGACACAGGGTGAGACCCTGATAAATTGAACATTCACTTCAGTGGTATGAGATGACTGGAAGCTTTCAACTGCTTTCCTACTGATCTCTCACCAACTGAACTGCAGTGAACAAACTTTGAGCTGCACTATTCTAGATAAACTGAAAATCACATTTTTTTTGTCTCAAATAGAGATCACAGTTCTCCCACGATTCTGAACTAAACAAAATAATGTGACAAAATATTAATTGCTGCAGTCTATTTAAAAGTGTTTCATTAATTTGAATGAATTATTAAACATTTTAATATATATGTATTTAGAATGAAATATATTTAATACACAATATTATGAAAACGTGGTTTGAGCGAATGATTCAATGGCTCACTCAAAAATACTTCACTTGTTTCATAAATTACATTTTAAAATAACTTTCTATGTGAATATGTTAAAAATCTAATTTACTCGTATGATCAAAGCTGAATTTTCAGCACCATTACTCCAGTCTTCAGTGTCACATGATCCTTCAGAAATCATTCTAATATGCTGATTTGTTGCTCAAGAAACATTTCTGATTGTTATCATTGTTGAAAACAGTTGTGCTGCTTCATACTTTTGTGGAAATCTTGATGCCTTTTTATTTCAACAGACATTAGTACTTTTGTTCATCAAGGATGTATTAAATTAATCAAAAGTGACAGTAAAGACATTTGTAATGTTACAAAAGAGTTTTCAACATTGATAATAATAAGAACCTTTGTCCTCCTCAGATCCTTCATCCATTCAATCATATAGACTATGAATGAGTAGATCAGTCTTTTGGCACACAAGGTTTGTCAAATCTTCTTAAATGTTTCCGCAGGAGAAAGAGCGACTGAAACAGGAGAAACGAGATGAGAAACGACTGAACAAGGAGCGCAAACTGGAGCTCAGACGGCTGGAGCTGGAGATGGCCAAAGAGCTGAACAAACCTAATGAAGACATGTGTCTGTCAGACCACACGGTGAATCACCGCAGCCACTGAATCCTTCTTACACAGAACCAAATAAAAAGATTAAGTGCATAATTTCTGCGCAGTTAGTGGGACCAAATGAAATTGCATAATTGAGACGTAGGGTTTTCCTGTATACTACCAACCAAATGTTTTGAATAATTACATGTCTTATTTTATTTATTTTTTATTTGCTGCATTTGCTAAAAAATTCAGTAAAAATTGTGAAATTACATTTTAAAATAACTTTCTATGTGAATGTTAAAAATCTAATTTACTCGTATGATCAAAGCTGAATTTTCAGCATCATTACTGCACTCTTCAGTGTCACATGATCCTTCAGAAATCATTCTAATATGCTGATTTGTTGCTCAAGAAACATTTCTGATTGTTATCATTGTTGAAAACAGTTGTGCTGCTTCATACTTTTGTGGAAATCTTGATGCCTTTTTATTTCAACAGACATTAGTACTTTTGTTCATCAAGGATGTATTAAATTAATCAAAAGTGACAGTAAAGACATTTGTAATGTTACAAAAGAGTTTTCAACATTGATAATAATAAGAACCGTTATCAGTAATTTAGCACCAATAATAATTAATCAATTCTAATCAGATGAAATTCAATCAGCATTATAGAATGATTTCTGAAGGATCATCACTGAAGACTGGAGTAATGATGCTGAAAATTCAGCTTTGATCACAGAAATAAATTACGTTTGAACATATATTCACATAGAAAACAGTTATTTTAAATTGTAATAATATTTTAAATTTTTACTGCAATTTTAATCAAATAAATGCTGCCTTGATGAGCAGTAGAGACTTCTTTTAAAACATTAAAAAAATCTTAATTATCCCAAACTTTTGACCTTGCAGTGTATATGACAATCAAATATCCCAAAAATCATCCACCTAGCAACATAAGAACCACCAAGAGTTAGTAGCAACCATCCAGAACACCATAGCAACCACAGACACATAATAGTCACATAACCATTCAATAGTAATCTGCTGTTCTTGAATGAATTCAGTGTGTAAGTGTGTTTCACTCCATGTGCAGCCTCTGCCAGCGCTGTCACGGATAGCGGGTCTGCTGTTGCCGGGGGGATGTTTCTCAGACTGTCTTATGGTCATGCAGTTCCTGCGCTGCTTTGGAAAGGTCCTGGGGTTTGACCTCAGCACTGACGTGCCGTCTCTTGGCGTGCTGCAGGCAGGGCTTCTGAATGTGAGCGACAGCATGGGCTTCATCCAGGACCTGCTGGTGCGCATGCTGTCTGCTGCTGTTTGTGACCCAGGACTCCCTGCAGGACACAGGGTGAGACCCTGATAAATTGAACATTCACTTCAGTGGTATGAGATGACTGGAAGCTTTCAACTGCTTTCCTACTGATCTCTCACCAACTGAACTGCAGTGAACAAACTTTGAGCTGCACTATTCTAGATAAACTGAAAATCAAATTTTTTTTGTCTCAAATAGAGATCACAGTTCTCCCACGATTCTGAACTAAACAAAATAATGTGACAAAATATTAATTGCTGCAGTCTATTTAAAAGTGTTTCATTAATTTGAATGAATTATTAAACATTTTAATATATATGTATTTAGAATGAAATATATTTAATACACAATATTATGAAAACGTGGTTTGAGCGAATGATTCAATGGCTCACTCAAAAATACTTCACTTGTTTCATTACTGAATGAATCAGCATTATTGAAAAAATCTCTTGAATAAATGATTCAGTGACAAATTCATGCGAAACAATGCAGTCAGCACAAACGTTATTTGAAGCGGCAGTTAATTTTCAAAAGGGGATTTGCTCTATTTTGATCGCTACCATAGACTTCAATGTTTATATCTGAACTATAAATCCTCGAATGCTTTTCGTGCCGAATTTTCACTTTCAGTGTGAAAAGGCCTTAAATTTCATTCCAGTATTTCTGTGATAATATGAATGACTGCTTTCTCTGTGTCAGCGGCAGCGCAAACGCAGATTTGAATGCTCCAGTTTTTCAAAGGTTTAATAAACACAATGATTCACTGTTTTGAAGCGCTCCAATCGGATCGTGAATAATTTAATTCAGATTGGGATTTTGATTCAGGACAGGACTTCAGAGTGCTTTTAATTTATTTATTTGATTCAGAGCATCGCAAATCATTTTGATTTAGATCGGGACTTCGGAGCGTGGATCTTTTTTTATTTTTAAATGGTACAAAACATCAAACCATTAAGGCAGTACAGTTATAAAAATGAAAGAAAGAATACACAAATACAAATCCCTTAAGAAAATTAACCATGGTTTTATTATAGTAAAGGTGTAGTAACGGGGTTTTTTTTTTTCCTATTTTAGAAACTGTTTCTATTTCTGCAAACTAATGACCGTGATAATCTCAGTTACAGATTATGTGCTTTATTCAAAGTTAAATGTGAGTTTTAATGTCATATTGCGTGGCATTTATAGCCATACTGAAAACAACAACAGATAGTTTACTTAATCAGATCTTGAAAATAAATAAAAGCAAAGATGTACGTTAAAACTGTGACTCACTGCGAACCGACAAGCGTTTTCCATAACAAAGATGGTATGTCACTCAGTATGTACATTTAATGATGTTAAAAAGGTTTAGTATTTATGAATTGGATTATAAACTTATCCATTTCGTTGAGAGTGCAGAGCGCTTCCAGAGAGAGCCCGCCCACTCACGCTTCTGATTGGCTGTGATATTTGATTGATTCTGTCGCGTTGCGTCTGGTGTGGACTTTTTGTTGTTATAGGGGGTGTCATAAAGCACAGCAGCAATCAGTGGTTATTTTTATATTTACTTTTATTTTTACAAAAAAGGAAAATTGCCTGAAAAGCAAAACAGTAATTGATTGTCAATAAACATGATTTGATCTCATATTTTGTTATTTTATTTATTTTTCTCATTTGAGGGTACTAAAATCAACACAAAATATGTGTAAAAATCTGTCTGATCCTATAGTATTCCCTCGTGCTCCATTCCTGCTGCTCTTCTTCGAGCTGAATATAAGTTCAGCCCCTCAGCAGATTCTCTGCACTAATCTTACATGCGTTTACGGTCTTAATAAAAAGCCTCTTGCCGCCTTAAACTCCTAAATGAAACGATTTAACCGTGCCTTTAGATTATCATTAATATATTCAGTTTTCTTTGAACGTATTAACTCGCTGCCTTTGTCACACTGAATTCCTCATTGCATCGCTCTGTTCTTTTGTTTGGATGTTTTGAACACTTCAGGCTAAGACGGCTCTGGGAGACCATGTGACTAACGTCGGCCTGAACCGGGACAATGTGTCCGAGGTGCTGCAGATCTATATGGAAGCTCACTGTGGACAGACTGAACTGGCACCGCTGGCTGAGAGCTTGAAGACCAAAGCTTTCCAGGCCCACACGCCATCTCAGAAAGCCTCCATACTGGCCTTCCTGGGCAATGAGCTGTCCTGCAGCAAGAGTGTGGTCAGGTGCGCTCCTCTCGCTTGATTAGCTCTGCATATTTACGGTGGAAGTAGAGTGGAAAACTGATGCTGCACTAGAGAATGGACCAGGCAAAATGTCCATATAAATTGTGCAATGGCAGAAAAATATATGCATATATATATTTAAGGGCACTTTTCATGCATTTTTTTTATTTTACCTTTCGTTTAGTGTGTAATATAGCTATTTGTGCATGTAATTGATCTGCAAAGTTAAAAAGTCAACACCAAAGGAAGTTGAACAGAAAAAACTTGCCTGAAATGCCTTGTTTATAGTCCTGTCATTATTTATTTGACTTTGATACATCATGTTACACAGCACAATGCCCACCCACTTGCTGAAGAATATGTGAAATATAGGTTTATTTATTTAATTTTTTTTGCTTTTTTACTTTAAATCACATGAATGTTTTCTAGCAGACCCCAAACATAAAATTAAAACAAGAAAGAAAAAATATTTCTAAATTATACATATTAAAGTGCCTGTTATGCTCATTTGCAAGTCTAAATTAGCATAATACGGGCACTTTATATCTTGTTTTAACCGGTTTAACCTAATGTAATTTTATATAATGTAAAAATTTAATTTTGCTTCCAGGTAAATGTGACACTTTTTTTTCCCTTTTTTTTTTAAGGATTTTTATACAGTTTTTACGAAGCAAACAATGGTCGTTACAATATAATAACCATTTTTTCCTTAGTATTTTCCACTAAAACTGTGTGTGTGTGTGTGTGTGTGTGTGTGTGTATTTTATTTATATATAATATACATACACACACACACACATTGTTTTACTGGAAAATGCTAAGGAAAAAATGGTTATTATATTGTAACGACCATTGTTTGCTTAGTATTTTTCCAGTAAAATAATATAAATTATATTATATTATTATAATATAAAAAAAGGTATCGTGTGAGATGCATGCACGATATTTACATTTTCTTTGTCCTCTTTGCACAGTGAGATCGACAAAAACATTGACAGTATGACTAACCTGCGACGAGACAAATGGGTGATCGAGGGGAACCTACGGAAGTAAGACACTTGTTTACACATCACATAAACACACATACAGTATTTACTTACTGATCTTACTGTATATAATGCAAAACACAAATCACATTTCACTTAGTGATCGCTAGTCTTCCCGTGGTCCATAATACACAGTTCACTATTTTGAATGACAAATATAAAGATACACTACTGCAATTTCATTCTCCTTGCATTTTGATATTCAACAATATTTTGCTGCCTTTGCACTGTGGTTTCCTTCAGAAAATGCCGATCTAGTTATAATCTGATTATGATGCTCTGTTCAGCTAGATTGTAATGCATCATTTTTTTGGCTGTTATTATTTTTCAGACTGAGAAGCATCTATGCTAAGAGGACGGGAAAGCGAGAGAGCAGCGTTGGAGGAGAGGAGGGTCAGTCCACCAGTACGCCTGCGAACAGCCGTAAACGCAAGCGCAAAGGAGGGGAGAGTGATGAAGATGATGAGGAAGATGATGACAGCGATGAACAGGGAGAGGAGGATGAGGATGAAGATGATTTTGGTGGGAAGAAAGGAAAAAAAGCAGAAGCATGTGAAGATGAGGTAGAGTGAATTTTTTTTCTTTGGTGAAAAAAAATATAGAAATGAAAAAGAAAGCCAAAATATTAAATGCCATGCGTGATTGTTTACGGAGTAATCCACTATTTTGTAGAGAGGGGGTTGAAATTGCACCTGAGATTTGGAGCCAAGTTGCAGGGTGGGAAAATTTACTTTATAAAGATGCCACTCTGCATCATTGTTATTTATATTATATATGTTATTTTTTTACACAGAGATTGGTAGGTCTGCTAGTAAAATCTGTTGACTTTAGCGATACTTGTTGCAATAAATACCAATGTTGCAAAAGCACTTTTTCCCCAAAGTTGGCATGCCTTTAACTCAAAAAGTATTAAAGATGTATTAATATCCTTGTAGATTTTGATTCTTGACAATTTTCTTTCAATATTCTCATTTTTATGGCCCTACATGGTTAATTCCCAGAGAGATGGAGATTTTGATGTGGCTTTGTGTACAGATTGTTGAATTTTAACCCATTTTCAAAACCCATTTGGCTGAAAAACCAAATGTGGTCACTTTGCATGTAGGTAATACTTATCTATTTATTTTCCTTCTTAATATTCAAAAATATTAGCTGGGGACGTTTCTGAAATTTGATTGATTTGACACGGAAATAACCTAATGTACAGTATGTGTTCAAAATGTATTCATCTGACGTTAGATTCTCAGTCTTTTTTTTGTTTAGTTTTAGTAATGCTCTCTTTTTTGCACTGAGAAGGAGGTTTTGAGCTCTAAAAGTTGTTTGCTATGTTTTTATGGAACAAAAACTAATTTCTCAAGAAAATCGAACTCGTCATGATGTTTTAGCAGCATGTCAGCTGTTCTTGGTCTTGTTTTGCAGGATGAAGGTGATCAAATCACAAGCATTGAGGAGCTGGAGAGACAGATTGAGAAGCTCCGCAAGGTAAATGAACATCAGATTTTGGATCTTACAACATGTTTTTGTCAAGTATCCTATTTAATACATCAGGCTTTTGTGGCTCATATAGGATGAAATACTGATATAAAGAAAAAAACAGCTCAGTTTTATTGAGAGGCCCAAACTGAGCAAAAATAGCAATTTGGTGAAGATGCTGATATTTATATGGCCAAAAAGCAAGATTAAATTCTGATGCTTGTACCGTAGATCGATGAGATCTTTATAACAGTATAGCAGAATACTTACATAAAATGATATAAATATAATTTAGATGCCTTAGAAAGGTCTGTATGAATAAATCTAACAGTCAGTCCTTTTCTTAGGGACTGTATGTTATTACATCAGCCTAAAATGCATAACCAACCAAACAATGCATAAGAGATATAGAACAAAAATCTTGTTGTATGTCATCTGTAGAGGACATTAGGAATCAGTTATTGAGAAAATGAAGGCAAGGCACCACAGGCAAAATCTCATTAAATTCATTAAAAACAAACGTCCTCTATAGAGGACAAAAAGGAATAGCTGGCTCCCAGGAGGATAACATGCCTATACTTGCTTTAACTAAATGTATTCTGCTGAATGTGTGGAGATATGACAGATTCATCCACTTGCATATTTCCAAACATTTTTAATAAAGAAAGATAAAGTAGAATACATCTGTCTTATTGATTCTCTTCCAGCAACAGACTCAGATCCGTCGGAAGCTGTTCGAGGCCTCTCATTCCCTGCGCTCCGTGATGTTCGGTCAGGACCGTTATAAGCGACGCTACTGGGTTCTGCCGCAGTGTGGCGGGATCTTTGTGGAGGGACTGGAGAGTGGAGAGGGTGAGAGAATGAGACTGAATAAGATCATAATGTGAAGACAAGGGCATCTTCTGAAGGAAGGATCGGTCAAGATTACAGGAGATGACAGAAACTGGGTTGAAGGTTTTAAACTGAAAAAGATAGTGTTGCTGTATTAAAGCAATAGTTGAGAAAAATTCAATTCTTTCATGATTTACTCACTCCAAATCTAGTTTAATTGCCTATAAAAACTATACAATACTTTAATAAGATAATAAAAATAATTTTTTTTTAAGCTTTCAAACAAGACTGTCAAGTCATCATTTAGAGCAGGGTTCCTCAATTAGTTTTCGCCGAGGGCCGAATTCTGCCAACAATACCAAGCCAAGGGCCACTGACCTATATATATATATTAGTGCTGTCAAATGATTAATCCAAAATAAAAGTTTTTGTTTACATAATATATGTATGTGTGCTGTGTATATTTATTATGTATATATAAATGCACACACATGCATGTATATTTCAGAAAAATTTTATGTTTATATAGTAAATATATTTTTTTTTAATATAAATTATATGAATATAAATACAGACATGTTAATACATGTAAATATTTTCAAAATATATGCTGTATGTGTGTGTATTTATATATACATAATAAATATACTCAGAACACACACACATATTATGCCAACAAAAACTTTTATTTTGGATGTGGTTAATCGTTTGACAGCACTAATATATATATATATATATATATATATATATATTGTTATTATTATTACAATTATTATATTATTGTTACGTTTGTTAAAATAATCACAAGATGGTCACAAGATGAATATTCAGAGTTTTTCCCCAGTAGTTTGTTTTATTCAAACAATTATGAACATTTTTGCATTTAGATACAGAAGAACTTTGCCTGTTGATTTTTTGGGGGGATCAAACTAACACCGTGTGTCCCAACCGGACACGACGCGATAAAGTATAATTTTCCATGTAGTTTTTGTCCTAACCACCCGCGACAGCGACACGTGACGACAAGCGACATGGGATTCTTTTTCACGAATGGTTTTTATTTTTCTGCGACGTCGCGGCAGGAACAACATACAAAATATGATGACAGTGATAATCTCAGGTAATGATTATGTGCTTTATTCAGTGTTAAAAGTGTCTAATGTGAGTTGGAACATATTATGCCAACAAAAACTTTTATTTTGGATGTGGTTAATCGTTTGACAGCACTAATATATATATATATATATATATATATATATATTGTTATTATTATTACAATTATTATATTATTGTTACGTTTGTTAAAATAATCACAAGATGGTCACAAGATGAATATTCAGAGTTTTTCCCCAGTAGTTTGTTTTATTCAAACAATTATGAACATTTTTGCATTTAGATACAGAAGAACTTTGCCTGTTGATTTTTTGGGGGGATCAAACTAACACCGTGTGTCCCAACCGGACACGACGCGATAAAGTATAATTTTCCATGTAGTTTTTGTCCTAACCACCCGCGACAGCGACACGTGACGACAAGCGACATGGGATTCTTTTTCACGAATGGTTTTTATTTTTCTGCGACGTCGCGGCAGGAACAACATACAAAATATGATGACAGTGATAATCTCAGGTAATGATTATGTGCTTTATTCAGTGTTAAAAGTGTCTAATGTGAGTTGGAATATTATTTTGCGTTATCTTTATAGCCATAGTGAAAGCAACAATAGATATTTTACCTCAGATCTTGAAAATAAATTAAAGCGTTAAAACTGTGAACTCGCTGTGAACCAACACGTGTATTCCATAACAAAGATGTCAGTCAGTCAGTCACTCACTCAAAACTGTTCAGTCCATTCATGTGTGAATCATCTATTTTAATCATCGCCATGTTTTTGCTGTCACTGGACGCGACAAAGCATTGCAAATCATTTGAACGTTGTCAAATAGAATGAGTCAGCAGTTTACTGTCGGGGATTTGTTGTGTCGCGCCACATCCAAGACAGCATCACTGATTATAACGAGTTCTATTGTATTTTATTGCGTCGCGCAGCTCGCGTCCGGTGTAGACACGATGTAAGTTAATGTAGCTTTGTGATGCTGCGTTTGAATTTTCATGCCACATTATTTGAAATTAGCGCGGATCAAACTTTTTTTCTCTCACAGGCCGGATGTGGCCCACAGGCCGCCTATTGAGGAACCCTAGTTTAGAGTGTGTCTTGCATGGAAGCCTGTATCCGCTACTTAATAAAAAAATAAACCAAGGTAACTGCAACTTTTTATCTTACAATTCTGACTTTTTTTTCTCACAATTGCAAGTTTGCAACTTTTTTTTTTCTTTGGCTTTTATTTCTCAGAATTGCGAGTTTATATCTTGCAATTCTGACTTTAGAACTCGCAACTGCAAGTTATAAACTAGATATAAACTTCCATTAACAAAAGGGAAATATAAAATATAAAAATGTATTTACAATGGTAAAAATGCTATAAAATCATCTCAATTATACTAACAAAAGCTGATCTTGACAAACGTCCCTTTTTTTTAGTTAAAAATGGCACGTTGTAGTTGATTTCTGAAGGATCATGTGACACTGGAGACTAGATGCTGAAAATTCAGCATTGCATCACAGAAATAAATTACATTTTAAAGTATATTCAAATAAGAAAGCTTTCTTTTAAATTGTAATATTATTACACACTATTACTGTTATTTTTTTATACTGTATTTTTGATCAAACAGTAGATGAGACAAACAGTAGACTGGTGTGCAGTAGAGACTTCTTAAAAAAAAAAAAAAAAAAAATTCCGAAATTATTCCCAACTTTTGACATATACACATATAATATATAAATAATATACAAGTAATATGGTATATAAGAAAAATATAAGTAATACTTAAGAAATTTATATAAAATATTTTTATTATTTCCTTTTAATTTTCAGGGAATATGACCATGACTACTAGACTTTTTTTTTTTTTTTTTTTTTTTTTACATGGCCAGTTATTTTATTGAAACAAAGCTTTGTATAAATGTGCTGATGATGATGATATATTGTGCTCCTTCAGGTCCTGAGGAATTGCAGGGAGAGCATGAGGGGATGAAGAACGCTCACCTCGTCCAGGTCAAAGAGGAACCTGATGAAAAATACAGCACCGCTGAGAGGAAACAAGAACCTCCGCAGGATGTAGATTCTCTCAACCTCTTCCTGCAGAAACCGGACTCTTTCTCCAAGCTCAACAAGCTGTTGGAAGTTGCTAAGATGTCTTCTGAGGCCTCTTGTCACCAATACAGCAGCCCAAAACGGCAGACTACATTACGCAGAACACCTAACCATGTTGTTAAACCTGATCTCAGTGATTCTTGTCTCCTCAACAACACCTACCTCACTAATGCCCAACAGCAGATCTGTAACGAGCAGCTTTATAAGATTCTGACAGAGAGAAACGCTCACTGGTTCAGTCTGCTGCCTCGCTCTCCATGTGACGTGTTGTCTCTGACTGAAGGTCCACATTCAGCTTCATCTTCCTCACCACAGACCGCAGCGGTCTCTGCCGACCCCTACAGCGCTGCGCGGATCAATAACTTTTCATTAGCAGCACTGCAGGTATGATCGTTTTATTTTGTCAGACAAACCCCTTAAACGCGCGTGTGTGTGTGTGTGTGTATATATATATATATATATATATAAATGAGAAACAAGAGACCAAAAAATGCAGATGAGCTGAAGGCCACTGTCAAAGAAACCTGGGCTTCCATACCACCTCAGCAGTGCCACAAACTGATCACCTCCATGCCACGCCGCACTGATGCAGTAATTCATGCAAAAGGATGCCCTACCAAGTATTGAGTACATGTACAGTAAATGAACATACTTTCCAGAAGGCCAACAGTTCACTAAAAATGTTTTTTTATTGGTCTTATGAAGTATTCTAATTTGTTGAGATCACAATTAAAAGAACCAAAGACTTAAACTACTTCAGTCTGTGTGCATTGAATTTATTTAATACACGAGTTTCACAATTTGAGTTGAATTACTGAAATTAACTTTTCCATGACATTCTAATTTATTGAGATGCACCTGTATGTATGTATGTATGTATGTATGTGTATGTATATTTGTGTGTGTGTGTGTGTATGTATATATATATGTATTATATATTACAATTTATAAATATATTGTAAATTGCCATTTGTTTTTATATTTTATTTCAAATATAATTTTTGTTTTTTATTGGTTTTATAAAAAAATATGTAAGGCTGCACTATAAAGTACATGCGCTATAATACACTTATTATTATTGTTGTTTTATTAAAATGAATATTATGTAATAAATTGTATAAATACTGTATATTACTGTTGTAAATTACACTTGCTCTGTAAAAATTTTTTTTTTTAAATATTTAATTATAATTTATATATATATATATATATATATATATATATAATCTCTAAAATGTATACTGTATAAAATATATATATTTTTTATAATTTCATATAATATTAAATATAATTTCATAAAAATGTTGGGAATTATGCAAACATGTAAATAAAATTAACCTAGAATATATTGCATTGCCAAAACGCACATACTTAATTAAATTGCAGCCTTTGATTTGATAATCGCACTTGGCTGTTTTGCTTTTTCAGTTTTATTTCGATTAATCGTGCACATTTATTTATTTTAATTTGATATTTGGTTTAATTATAAGCTTTTCAATCAACTTATGCACCCCGTTTGGGAATCCCTGTTGTAGACCTTGTGTATTTTTCTCATTCTGTATTTGTGTTCTTTGACTATAGACTGCACCTCTGTGTTTGCAGTTGAAGTCCGGTGTGCCCATTATAGATTTGCCCTTCTGTGCTTGGTCCAATGGAAATTTGAGTCCAAACGTGCCGTTCTCTGGTGTTTCCATGGCTCAGATTCTCAGAGGCATTCCCTCATCCTCAGAGGGCAGTGGACACCTGAACGTCTATAAGAGCGATTTTCCAGAGTCTCCAGCAGAGAAACCCATCTCCACACCCTCACCGGTCATCGAGGTGCCCAAAAACCAGGATTACCCATCACCTCAACCTATTCCTGAAGGTAAGGCTGAGACAACATCATGAGAGTGCTAAGAGTTATGTCTTTATTCTTATTGTTATTTTTTTTAGTACAGCCGTCTGATTCATTTCTTTGAATCAGTTCAGAGTTCGGATTCAAGGATTCATTTACATGAATATCTTCATGAGATGTTTAAAGACTCATTTTCGTGTGGCGTTTTCATATTAAAAGTTTTAGGAAAAATATATGCAGGTGAATATCGTAAATATAACTGTATTATGTGTGTATGAAAGAAATCTCTTCTGCTCACCAAGGCTGCGTTTATTTGACCAAATGCATAGTAAAAACAGTGATATTGTGAAATATTACAATTTACAGTTTTCTGTTACAATATATTTTAAATTGTAATTTATTCCTGTGATCAAAGCTGAATTTTCAGCGTCATCCCTCCAGTCTTCAGTGTCACATGATCCTTTAGAATTATTATTATTATTATTATTATTATGAAAACAGTTTTTGCTGCTTATTACTTTTTTTGGAAACCTTGATACGTTTTTATTTTCAGGATTCCTTAAAGGGGTCATATGATGCGATTTAAAATTCTTCCTTTCTCTTTGGAGTGTTACAAGCTCTTGGTGCATAAAGAAGATCTGTAAAGTTGCAAAGACTGAAGTCTCAAATCCAAAGAGATATTCTTTATAAAAGTTAAGAGTCAGCCACACCTACCTAAAACGCCTCGTTCAAACACGCCCCCACATGTCTACGTCACTATGTGGGAAGATTTGCATAACGCCGCCCAAATGTTCACGCAAAGAAAGAAGGCGTAACTTTTATTCTCGCTGTAGTATTGTTGTTGCCGCCGCCATGTCGTGAAGGCACTGTGTGTTTCGTTGTGAAAGCGAAACTACTTTGTTTGGTCTTTCAAAAGAGGACACGACTAGAAATCAGGGGTTAAGTTGCATTTACAACACTGTTCCAGAACACTTTAACCCAAATATTCAGATGTGTGCAGCACATTTTATGGAGGACTGTTTCCTGATCCTGGTAGAGTAGACTACAATGCCGGCTGTTCTGACTCACGTTTTTTATATTTAAAGGATTTGCCACTGACGATTCAAACGTGAGTTTTGAGCAGTGTAGAGTAGCACTTGTTGTTTGTCATTTCTCCGATCACAAATGCAGACATGGTTTTATGTTTGCGCGGTGCGATGCAACGCGTAAAAAGACAGTATAAGTCATTATAATCCGTAAAAATCGGCGTGTTTCAGAAAGGCGGGGCATAGAGGAGAAACAATCATGTACAGTATGTGGAAAATAATGTTTTTTGAACTTTAAACCGCATAAACACATTTCTTTACACCAAATACACCAAATATATTTATTAAAATTTTATGAATAGAAAGTTCAAAAGAACAGCATTTATTTGAAGTATAAATCTTCTGTAACATTATAAATGACTTTACTGTCACTTGTGAATTTGTGAATTGTCAATTTAATGCATCCTTGCTGAATAGAAGTATATATTTTTAATTTCTGACTCCAAACTTTTGAATGGTAGTATATTATAAATTAATATATACAGTAATAATTTAATGTATGAGTTGATATAATATGATATATTTTAATAATAAAACTTTAATATAAAATTTTAGATATAAATCTAAAATGTGTGAAAATAAATAAAAAAAGTTTACTAGATTTTACTGTACTTTATTACATTATATATTTTAAATCTACTTTTTTATTCCAGTGACTGTTTGATTGAAATGATGGTTACTCCAATGGAAATCATCTCCATAATCTATTAAAAAATTTTAAATATGGAGATGTATATTTTCGAACCTGGCCTCATAAAGCTGTATTTTTGTGTTGTGTTTGTCTTGTAGAGATGTTGACTGGCTGGTGGAAGGTGACGGACGTCGACGAGTTACGATCTGTAGAGAAAGCATGCCATTCCCGAGGGATCCGAGAGAAACAGCTGCAGAAACAGCTGCAGAAACACATGGACTACATCGGGCAGGTCTGCTGCAGGAACAGAGATGGTAGGTGCTCGTTGTGTCTCTGTTTGAAATACTTCGAGGGCAGTGCTCTTAGTCTGCGCTCTGTGTCCAGTGACTGTGATCGACGTCTCTGAGCTGGAGGAGAATCAGGTCTCTGAGGACACCGTCCAGAGCTGGTGTGTGGAAGAGCAGGCCATGGACATGGACATCGGTGTCCTGCAGCAGGTGGAGGAACTGGAACACAAGGTCACCTCAGCCAGTCTGCAGGTTAAGGTAGGAAATCTGGATTTTAATGAACATTATTATACATAATCAATCATCTTTTCTTATCTGTGCCTACAAGAGCATTCGTGTTTTAGTTTAAATCTTTTTATTGATGCTTTTCAACAAGACAGATTTAAAAAAAAAGTATATATATATATAAAATATAATAATATAATAAAAAAAAAAAACATATTATTTGATCTTTTTAATTATTCCATGTAATTTTCTTTATTACTCTTCTTCATCATTATTATTATTATTATCATTATTATATTATTTATTAATTTAATTTTAAATTATTTTATCTCAAGAGTTTCATGCTCTACCCTTTGTGTGTGTATATATGCTAACAAATAACAGTAATAATAAGTACATATATACATAAAATACACCAATAATTGAGACAATGCTGAGAAGGAAGAAAAAGTTAGGAAAAAAGCTTTAAGTATGGAATCACAACCAGCTGGGAGTAAAATAAAATACATGAAGTATCATAGAAATGGTTGCCAAATACTATAACGTTTTTCTGCATCAAGCATTGTGAATCCTTTTATTTATTTTTAATTTTTTTTCATTAACTGTAACATGTCATGCATCCAATGAGAGTAGTTGGGAGGGAAGGCTTTTTCCAGTTTATTAGTATAAGCCTTTTAGCAACATTAACATTAAGTCCAAATAATGCCACTAGAGGACATGGTTCAAATTGAAAGAGAACAATATCAGAAATTGACATGAAAAAGCCCAAAAGTATTGACATAGAGTTGCTGGAGCTTAAGTAAGATGAAGTAGGATCAAGATCCAGGTTAAGAGCATTAATGTTTCAACACTGCCTTTGATTTGAACTGTTTAAAACAGTATGAAAGTATTGTTTGTTTGTTTGACAGGGCTGGATGTATCCAGCGGCGCAGTCACAGAGTGAAGACCTGCTGTATTACGAGCACAAACCCGTCGTGCAAAACTGCAAAGACAAAAGCGACAGCGACATCGTACGTCGAGCAAACAACCCTCTGGATATAGCAGTGACGCGTCTGGCGGAGCTGGAGAGGAACATCGAGCGAAGGTACCTGAAGAGCCCTTTAAGCAGCACCATTCAGATCAGACTGGATAACGTGGGAACGGTCTCAGTACCGGCCCCTGCGCCATCACCTGCTAGAGCTGATGGTGACGGGTAGGTCATCCAGATTCACACGCTCCTCAAGCCTGTCTGCCGCTCTTCACGCTTCACTTTGGCTTTGTGCATCTGTGGGTTTATGGCTGTGGTGCTGCTTTCCCATTTACACTGCAACCTTCACTTTTTGGCTTGTGAAGCATGAGCATGAGGCACTGTCTACATCTACAGTAACCACAGCCTCATTACATCCTGTCATCTGCCTTCCACAAGCAAGTGCTTCTTGAAGAGGCTGCCACAAAAAGGGTACTAAATAGAGCCTGAAATTCTTCTAAATAAATAAATAACAATAAGAAGAAAACAACAACAATGAATACATTTATTCCAATTGAATTATTATTCATGTAAATTATTTGTTGCTGATTTTTTTATCATTATTAATTATTCATTAAACAAATATTGATGATTATAATAATGTGATTTAATTAGAATAATTGAATACAGTTCAATATAACTGTTATTATTGTTGTTATTATTAGTAGTATTATTATTAGTTTACATGATCAATTAATTGTTGATATTGTTAATAATAATAATAATAATGCTATTAGTAATTATACTATACTGTATAATTATGTATTTATTTTAACAAATGATCAGATATAAGAGGAGTGATATTTGTAGGTAAACTGAAAAATTACTGAAGAGTTTACAAACTAACATCTAATAGTTCTAAAAAAACAAACAAATAAAAAATAAATATTATTATTTATTATTACTCTAGAGGTCAGAGTTCTGAGTAATTATAATAAAAATAATAGTACTAACAAGGTTGCAAATTTAGCCTAAATAAAGCCATCACTCAGTAGGGGATAGAAAGTTTTGTGACCAAATGTTGGTTTGTAGTTGCTGATCAAATTATATTTTCCATAGAATGTTTTATAAATAACATTTGATAATATTGTATAACTTATTATTTAAATAATATTATATAAATTGTAATAAATAGAAGGGTTTGTAGACCAACATCTAATAGTTCTCTCAACAACAACAAAAAATTTGAAAAAACAAATTGTGCCTCCTAATGATATTTAAACAGTAATGTTGTACCCTATTTGTGGAAAGTGGCAAAACACGGTTGAATCTGATTGCTGTCTCTGTGCTCATTTAGTTTGTGCACTGTGGTTATTATCAGCATGAATGTGGGTTATTGATCATGTCATGTTTTTACTGAAATAGGGTCATATCCAGGCTCCAAAATTAACATGCACCAAATCAGAATAAATCTGCCATTCACTTACAAATTTGTATGAACTTTTGGAAGATTCAAAAGAATCTGACCATCACTGATGCAAGAAAAAAAGATAAATAATTGCATTGTCTTGAAGACAAATATACAGATTCATTTTTTTATTTTTAAGAAAACTTTGCAAATGCAAAATAGTTTCATGGCCAGTAAGAATGTTTATGACCTCTAAATGTACTAAATGCTCTCACAATTGGCAGAAGTGACAAAAAGTTAATTTTAGACCCTGGTTTTATTTATTATAAAATTTTAAAAGTTTTATTTTATTAAATATTTTTGTTTTATTGCAGTTTTATATATTTGATTTGATTTGAAATATTCAGAATAATCTGAACATCGCTAATGCAAAAAAAAAAGCTAAATAAATTAATTGTTACAAGGACAAATATACATATTTTTTCCCATATTATTATTTTTAATTAATTAAAAGAAAAATGCAAAACACAGTTTCATGGCCAGTAAGAAATGTGTATGCCCTGTAAATGTATGTACAAAATGCTCTTAATTGGCAGGAGTGGCAAAAAGTACATTTTGGACCTTGGTCATATTTATTTATTATAAAATATTTATAATTTTATTATACAATACTATTTTATTATGACATTTTAATTTTATTATAAAATATTTTTATTTTATTATCTAGTATTTTGTTGAATCATAACATTTTATTTTATTCTAAATGGAATTTTATTTTTATTTATCAATTTTATTTTCCTCCCTGTGTTCAGTACTGTAATCTGTCTGTCTGTGGCAGGGCTGAGGAAGATCTGGCTCCAGGACTGAGACAGTGGCGTAAAGCTCTCGGCGAGGTGCGCAGTGCCAGTCAGCTCTCTCTGTGTCTACAGCAGCTGCACAAGTCCATCGCCTGGGAGAAGTCCATCATGAAAGTGGTGAGTGCTGGGAGTCCACAGCTTGTGTAGTTTGATGGGAATTGATTTGCAGGGTTTTCAGGTTGAATGTGTGTGTATATAGTTCAGATCTGTGTGGTGGTTTATTGATCTTGGTTAGTTTCTTTGAAGTGAAGTGATCCAGATGTGTTTATGGCTCAGTACTGTCAGATCTGCTGTAAGGGAGACAACGAGGAGCTGCTGCTGCTGTGTGATGGATGTGATCGAGGCTGCCACACGTACTGCCATAAACCCAGGATCACCACCATACCAGACGGAGACTGGTTCTGCCCGGCCTGCATATCCCAGGTGGAGCACTTCATTAACACTCTCCATCATGTCGTTCCAAACCTGAATGCTGTTGTTTTTTTGTCATCATGCAATTTCAGAAGAATATTTTCACAAAATGTCAGTTCATATTGACCAAAAACACCATGAAAGTATAATAAAAGTAGTCCATGTGACCTGTGTGCTCATTGCACCCCTGTTGAACACGACACAAAAATCTTTGATTTTATCAACACATTGATATGTCATTTTCCGATGCAAGAACAATTATTATTATTATTACTACTACTACTACTACTACTACTACTACTACTACAACTTGGCACACTGACGACGACGACAACAACAATAATAATAATGATGATAAATTCAAGATGTTATTGAAACATTTTTTAATATATTTTTATAAATAAAATTAACAACAACAACAATAATATAACATCAGCAATAATAGTAATAATAAAAATATAAAAACACGTAGTAGTAAAATCTGTCATTATAATATTATAATTTAATTTTTATTGTCACAGTTTTTAATAATAAATTGTATATTATTATAATATTATAATAAAATAATTTTTACTACATTTTTCATTACTTTTATTTACTACAAATTTTACTACTACACTTATTATTATTTTTATAAATGATAAAATTATTATTATTACTACTACTACTACTACTTATTACTACTACTAGTACTACTACTTATGACACTGACAACCACAGTAATAATACAATTCTAAATTTTATTGCTAAATTTTAGTTATTTTTATAAATACAATTATTAAAGAAAAATAATAATATAAAAACAAATGAGTGTAATAATGTATACTTTATTATTTATTTACTTTATTTATTTACTTTAAGTCAGATTTTTAAATGATAATAAACATTATAATATAATATTATAATTATTTTTACCACATTTTTATTACTTTTATTTACTACAAATTTTACTACATTTTATCATTATTTTTTATAAATCATAAAAAGTATTATTGAAGTCAAGAGTTTTGAGTGGTAATAATATTCTAAATTATTACTGCACTTATTTATTGTTTTAATTTTAGTTTTGTATTAGGACCAACTATTGGGAAATCGCTGGGGAATTTGGCTTAACAATTAGCAATAGTTAACTATTTAAAACCATAAATATTTTATTCCTTCTCAATCCTTCCATCTGAATTCAATTCCCAAGCACACATGCATCCCTAAATATACTTAAATGTGGAAATACATAATGCTGCTGAATGAACATCTTCACTGCAGTAGTCTGTTGTTCATGAAGACATCAGAGTCTTTGGCCTGTGTTTGGAGATTTAGTTTCCTCACTAAAGCGTTTGTCTCTGTGTAGGCGAGCAGTCAGTCCCTGAAGACCAAGCAGGCCTTGAACCGCTCAAGCGGAGGCCTGAAGAAACCTGCTGAGGCCAAGCGGCACAAGAAACCGTCTGTGGCTGTAGACTCAGAGGAGAATTTGAGCAGCGCCAACAGCACGCCCAGAAAAGTGTCAAAGGACATGAAAAAGAGGAAGACAGAGGAGAGTCCTTCCACTAACCCGGCAAAGCAGGAGAGTCCCAAAACATCCAGAGACCACAGTAAAGACCTGACCTTGTGCAGGTACTGTACCAAAGCCGCAAACCTTGTGAATGCGCTTTACTTCAGTCTGCCTGTGAATCAGCTGTCACTGATCGGTCTTTTTCAGAATACTCTTGGCTGAGCTGGAAAGCCATCAGGACGCCGGACCGTTTCTGACACCCGTCAACCCCAAATCTGTCCCGGGATACCGCAAGATCATCAAGAAGCCCATGGACTTCTCTACTATCAGAGACAAACTCACCAACAGCCAGTGGGTGTCACTAGTTGACTAGTCATTATTTTTCTAGTTATTTGCAGTTATTGTAGGGCTGGGCACTACAATATTTAAGCCTTTTCGGTGATATATTTATTGATCATGATCATTTTTTTATATATTTATTGATGATGATGATGATCATTTATTTAAAACACAATTTTTTCATATTTTTATTATTGTTTTATATTTTATTCACTATTTTTTATTTATTTTTTTACTTTTTTGTTTTATAGTAGACCATAATTTTAACCAAACAGTCATTATAGTCAAGTAGATTAAGTAATTTATTAAAAAACTATATTTTTACCCTTTTGGTGATTTATATTTATTATTTTTATTTTAACATTCTTTCGAGTCAAGTAGATTAGTAATTTATTAAAAAACTCAACATTTTCATGCTTTTGATAATATATTAATTGATGATAATAATAATAGTTAGTTTTAATAATATTTATTTATTTATTAATTTTTGTTTTTTTTAATTTTTTCAGTGGAATGATCATTTTGACCAAACAGTAGTTTTTTGTATTCATTTTTTTTGCTGTTTTCATCAATATTTTGCACTAAATAAACACAATTTATATGCACCAGTATAATACATAGCTGGTGAATCTCACTATTTGCCATCAAAATGATAGTGAATGTTTAATTCAATACCGTGTGTGTGTGTGTTGTGCTTGCTTTTGACTTTTCTCATCGCAGGTACTTGAATCTTGAGACTTTCATCATTGACGTGAACCTGGTGTTTGATAACTGTGAGAAATTCAACGAGGATAATTCAGACATCGGCCGAGCGGGACACGAGATGAGACGATTTTTCCAGAGGAGATGGACCGAGCTGTTGAGGCAGAACTCGCTGAAACCAGTTCAGATGATGGAGAGTCATTTACACACCATTCACGCCACACACTCAAACAAATCAAGTACAGGGACACAACTGTGAGAACATCGATGCTTTCAAAAATATCTTGTGAATATGTTCGTTTTTTTTTTTTTTTTTTTAATAAACGTTAATATTATAGTCAATGTACTGTATTTAATTTGTCTTTAATTATTTATGACTAAAAAGGTCTTCACTTTCTATGGAAAAAGAGGCAAAATTGCTTTAAAAATCTAAATGAATGTGCTTTCTTGATCAGATATGAAAAAATAACGTGTTTACATAATTCTGAGCTCCTAGAGAACAGAAGATCCATTATGGTTACATTATAAAGCTGCATTTATGTAAATGTGTATGTTTTAAATCACAAACTCCAAAACAGGCCATCGTGACATATGACTATTAATGTTTAATATCAGTTCTGAATATTGTATTCTGTGCACACAAGACTCCAGCATCGTATATGCCTTTTTAATAGTTGTATCTTTTCATGTGTTTTAATACGGCACTTTCTGAAAACAGCAGTGCCTTCAGAAATCCTCTGTTTTTACAACTTCTCCAACCTCAATCAATCTATTCCGATGCCCGAGCATTCATCCAGTGATTGCTGGATTTTTTACATCATCATTGCTATCGCTCGTATACAATGCAACAATAAAACGGATGAAGAAAACCTCCAAACCGTATCTAGAAATCAGAATTTTCTTCTATATTTTTTTTTGACTTCGCAACCGCTTAGCAAACACTCTTGCGTTGTGATGGCAAATTTTGCGCGTGCAAAAGTGCCGTTGCGATAAATCTAGTTTACATGATAATTAATGTAATGAACTGCAGTGATTTTTATGGTACTGAAGTCAGAATACTTGAATTCTCCTGTGTGAAGATATTGCAATGAAGGTGTAGCGTTCTGTTTTGTAGGAGTTTTATTTTTCTCTAGTTTGTGTCGAATATTTAATAAAAGGTTTTCAAGCAGCCTGGTTGTGTTTATACTGTTGATGCTGTGTTTTATTCATGAGATGATCTTATTTGTACCTGTTTTAATGACTTCCCACAGCTGTATTTCTGTCTGTCTGTCTGTCTTCTTCTCGAATCTACTCCTGCAACAGAATCATGATGAGTTCATTGTGGTTATTTATTCTTGTCCATTTTTATTTGATTTTACGTTTATTTAAAAAAAAAAAAAGCTATATATATTTTTTATTATTATTTCAATTTGTCCAGTCATTGTAGTCGAGTAGATTATGACTGCTTATTTATTAAAAAACACAATATTTTCAGCCTTTTAGTGATATATTTATTGATACTACTACTACTACTAATAATTATTAATTATCTCCAATTTTATCCAGTCATTGTAGTCAAGTAGACTGACTAAAAACTATATTTTCAGCATTTTAGTGATATACTTATTGATAATATTTTCATTTTCCCCCCAATTTTATTTAATCCAGTTATGTTTTATTTTATTCAATTTTATCCGAACAGTCATTGTAGTCAAGTAGATTGACTAGTCTTTTATTTAAAATAATATAACAATATTTCCAGCCTTTTGGTGATGTATTTATTAATAACGATGATAATAATCATATTTTTTATTTTATCCGAACAGTTATTGTAGTCAAGTAGATTGACTAGTCATTTATTTAAAATAATATAATAACTATTTCCAGCCTTTTGGTGATGTATTTATTTATTTTATTTAATCCAATAATATTTTATTTTCAATTTTATCCAAACAGTCATTGTAGTAGATTATGACTAGTCATTTATTTAAAATAATATAATAACAATATTTCCAGCCTTTTGGTGATGTATTTATTAATAACGATGATGATAATAATTTGTATTTTTTTTATATTGTTTTTAAGTTGTGTTATTTTATTTTATGTTGATCCATGCGACAGAAATATGAGTCTCATTGGTTGACCTGCGTTTCTCTGTCTGTGCAGGTGTTGTGTAAAACTCCGATAACCTCAGGGGTGTTTATGAGTGGATACTACAGTGAACTATCAGGTATCCCAGACAGCAGACTCGGTCATGTGACGTTCCTGCACTGTATCACAGCAGGAAGTGTTTGGAAGGGAGATTCACAGAGGCCTGAGCTTCAGGAATCATTCTCTGTGTATGTTTGCTTCATTTATATAATCTGTACAATCTCTTGTTTTATGTAGGTTATCGTGTTAAAGTTGTGCATTTCCAGATATTGATTTACTAACTGTATTTTCAGGGTTTTAGGAACAATCTTCATGTGAATCTTCTGCCATCAGGTGAGTCTTTCCTGAACCTTTTGAACACATAATTGACATTTTTAATGCGTCTATATAAAAGGGTTTATCAGATTTGTGTAAATATGCTCTGAACACAATATTAATAATGATCTGGTTATTAACACAAACAGATAGCTAGTTATTGCTCAATGAGGGATTTGCAGTTAGTTTACATGAAGAGGTCAATGTGAAGTTCTTGTTCATATTAAACATTTGTGTGAACACCACATGCATTAATCAAATCCATTGATAATACACAGGGATGTTTGTGCTGCAGTTATCCTGCCCGGACTACGATACTTTGTTAAAACACAAAATGATGGAAAGTAATATTGAGGCCACAGGGGGAAAAAAAATTAATTATCAATTAACTTTCGCTTGAAAACATGTTTTGTTCGTGAGGAATGAGTGAATAAATTGTCCATTTTTCACATTATAAAAAAGTTGTGCATAAAATAGCTAGACTATATAAAAATTAAACTTTTATTTCAAATATTATTATTAATTATACTATTAAATATACTATTTAAATATAATTATATGTTAAATACTATTAAATATACTATTATATATTAAAATACTTATTGTCAGTTTAACATTTTATATTATAAGACGATGGGGACATTAAAAAAAAGAACAAATTACACTAATTAAAAGCATTTAAATAATAATTTTTAAATTGTATTAGAATTTTAAATACATTGACATGTTTTTAAATGAATATTTACTATTTATTTTAAATATATTACAGAAATACTGCAAAAATAAGTATTATTATAAAATATATATATATTAAAATTATACATATTTATATATTATATACTTTAATATTGTCAGCATTTTATCCAATATGTTAAGACATATAATGATGGGAACATGGAAAAAGAACAACATGCACTCAAACAGAAAGGATTTAAATAGTTTAAAACAATTTTTATTTGAATTATATATTATATATTTATTGGATATTAAATATATATAAAAATACACTAGTCAACATTTGAAGTGTTTCATCAAAGTTGTCCTAAAACCAAAATGTGTTCTCGTCTTAGGACAACTTTGATTAACTTTTTTGATCCACTTCAAATGTTGACCGCTGTATATTATGTTTTAATATCATCATCAGACACATTTTACCCAGTATGTCAAGACATGTAGCGTTATGTCGCAGGTGTTTAATATGTGTTTCCTCTCACAGATGATCATCATAGCATTAATGTTGAGACATAATAACATTACAAGCCTATATGGAGGGCCAAATTACTCAAAATTACATCATTCAATAAATGCTGAAATATATGTCGTTAAACGCATAATTAAATAACTAAATACATAACAATGTATGTAATACGTCATTCATTTATTTATGTATGCATACATTTTTTTTTTACTTTTTAACTTTTTTAACAATTAATGATTATTAAATCATTTTAACAATTATTTTTGACAATTTCTATTGATTTAGTTTTAGTTGGGGCACTGAAAATAATCCCTAGATTTTCTTTTCTTTTTCTTTCTCTTTTGTTTTCTTTTCTTTTCTTATTTATGTATTTATTTTAGCTTATTTTTAATTACATTTTATTACACCTACATTATTTTTTAAACAAAATTACACTTATGCGTTGTGTATAATTGTCTTTTCATGAATACAAAATATACAGAGGTCCATCAAGTGTTTGATGAGGGTTTGCTTGCTGTGTACTGTGTGTGTGTCACCTGTAGATGTGCTGAAGTCAGTGAGGGCAGCGTCCTGGCCTGCTGTTTCTCCCCGCGTGGACAGATGTTGGTCACAGGCTCCAGTCAGGGTGTGTGAAGACTTTACACAGGCAGAGAGAAGCTCATGATCTGGGAGTCAACTGCTGCCACTTCTGCTCTCAGATGAGCATCGGTAACAGTCCATATATAGAACTCTTCTGCTGCAGATGATTATTAGTCCTCCCTCTGCTGGAGGCTGATGGGATTTACCTGCAGCGATGTGGGAAAGCCTGATGTTTTTCTATGAACATGAAGTCTGGTCCATATTGCAGCTTAATCTGGCCACAAAAACGCCAGTTTAGACAGAAAAACACCTTCTAACTGACATTAAAATAAAGCAAACTCAATTTTTGTTTGCCATGATTGTTATGCTGTTTTTGAAATTAGAATTTTTCCATTATGGTGGAACAGTCTGCAGTCAAAATAATAAAGCCTATTGTTAGGCCTAAATGTAAGATTTTTTTGAATTATTATAAAATGTCCATCCATTTGATTTTTAATATTAGTTTAAAAAAATATTTTGTTTCCGTTTAGCTATTTGTGTCAAGTTAAACTAAACGAAAATGACAAACGAAGTCTTGACAGTTAGCTGTTTGTTTATTTTAATTCGAGTAACACATTTTTAAATGGTTTAGTATTAGTTTTGATTTTAGTTTTAGCGAAGTATAATTACTCTGCAAATAATCCCATTTTATTTCTTAATTTGTTTTATTTTATTTTACACCTAGGGATTATTTTGAATTACAAATAAAATGTCCATCCATTTGGATTACACAGTTTTAACATAAAATAATAATCTTAATGTCAGACATATTTGTCAGTCATATCCAGTGTTGGGGAAAGTTACTTTTAAAAGTAATGCATATTCATATTTATTTTAGAACTACAGTAACATCTGATTTCTCTCAACATGGGGACAGGAGAGCTGGCAATCAATAAATTATTGTAAAATCAGTTTATGTTGAAGGTATCCTTTAGACAGCTGTTGATAAGTAACTACATGCAACTACGTCAGTCTTTTCAGTCTTCCTGTCTACAGCTTTTACTGTTGTTGTTTTTATATAAATAATACATCAGAACTAACAAATATTCATAAACTCAAAATTCAACCTGAATTTGAGCAAAAATATGAAACTTCTTGGCCTGTGCTTGTGTTTTTCACTCCCCCATGTTTGCTTTCGGATCAATAAAAGTGAATAGAGCTCAAAATCCAGTCTGGACGCTCTTTAAGTGGCCAAAATAAGCTGCAAACTTGCTGATAAACAACAGTCTGGCTAAACAAAACTGAATTTAATGAGATGAGTAATGCTTTTGACTTAGTCCAAAACAGTCTTTCTGTTCATGACCATCTGCTCAGGATCAGTTTATGGCAGGAAATGATTAGAGTTCTTTATAAGTATAATTATATTCACATTTGTTGTGAGGTTAAATTACAGGAGTGAATATACTGTAATTATCTTTACAGGGAACTCAAACATCATGATAACCTTGATTAGTCATGCTCTGCTGTGTGAGTGTGTGTGTGTGTGTGTGTGTGTGTGTGTGTGTGTGTTCAGATGGCCAGACAGTCAAGTTTCGATTGGCCTCTGGTGGGCAGGATAACAGACTGAGAATATGGATTATTTCCCAGCATGCAACAGCAGGTACTCGCGCTCTCTGTCTCTATCACTGCACCCGGCATTCAATCTCAAAAAAAGTTTAAACTGAGGCAATCGACAACTGAAAGTATTCTCCAGCAAGCAGGACTGTTACAAATATTGCACTGAAATTGGATCAGAAGTGAAGCCAACATTAGGTCTAAACTTAAATATTGCATGTAAGAAAATTATTCACAGGATGAAAAAAAAAATAAGGTAACTTTTTGCAACTTCTCATCTCACAATGTGGACTTTTTGCCTTGCAACTCTGATTTTATATATATATATATATCACAATTAGTTTTTTTTCCCTCGGAAACAGAAAGTCAGAATT